AACATTCACAACATAACAGGCATAAAGGTTCTATGATAATGAACTCGCTTTTTACAAATGCATTAAAAGCTAAAGGGAAATGGAAAACATTTATTAAAAGAATTTTCCGAAGTGTTTTTAAGGAATTTATATATATTGTTGTTACATAATATTTCATTTAGTGTTACATTCACATGGTATGTAAGAACGATTTTAGTAATTAAAAGATGTTTCGCAGAGGAATTCCATTTTAACATACTTTTCGTTTGAAAACACCTGCCAAAATACATTTACATTACAAAAAGGGAATCTAATATAGAGACATAGTTATATATCCTCTTGGACTTTGTTCATATTCATTTTCACCTCCATCATTAATACATCCTTCTAGCAGACAGTGAACAATTTAACAATTGTAATCTGATTTTATTGGAACTGTTGTATGCCATTCCGCCCTCAATCCTTCCGGCATCTGCGCACTGTATATGCTTCATAGAATGGTTAAGCTTAGTCACCAATCGATCACATGTCTTACATCAACTTATCTCGTTTTCTTATGCCAACTGCGAGGACCAAGTTGTAAATAAAACAGATAGTACTGTTATGATGTAGTCTAAGATGCATAGTGCCATCACATCATTAAAAAAAGAATAAAGACAACATGTTGGCGTAAAGGGTAAGTCTCATCCCTAATTGATGTATTATGTCTTGTTTTCTTTAGAAGCGTTGCCTTTTTGAGGATGCAGGCACCTTTAGGTTATTAATTGTAATATCTCCCCATGACTCTCCAGTTATTTCATAAAACCTTCTTCATTTCCGTCAGGATTTCTTCTGTTGTCATCAACTAATCAAATTATGCTTAAAATGATACTCAATCAGACTTGATATTGCTAGGATTTGTCTCTAATTACACGTACTTGATATTTATAAAGTCTTCCTTTCCAGATCGGACGGGTTCTCAAGAGTTATTGATTGTATCAAAAGCTTCAAGTAACGGATACTCGCAACAAAACTTGAACTCATAATGGGCTCACTGTTTTAATTGTCAACCCATGTGCCAAAACTGAATCTAATTCATACTTGTACTTGGAATTGAAGATAACTCCCAAACTTAATTGGTTCTTTGTTTACAATAAATTCATAGTTTGACTGATTTGCGTTTTCTGTTTTAAGTTGTCAAATCAGTTTTATTGTTTTGGTCCGAAAATACGGCGCCGATAGCATGTGTTGTTTGAATATTATATTTTCAGATATAACTTCTCTTGGTGATTATATAATATAGATAAAAAATGGCTCTATATCATAATATAGAGTCGTATTGTGTTATATCGAAAGGTCTTTTCGATATCAACAAATGATTGAAGTAAGTTCTACAGCGTACCTACAACAGTTTCCGCCAATGTGCCACTTTTAAATCAATGTTTTGGTTACATTTTCCCCATTTTCTTAGGTTGCATTAACTTCGCATTTTTTTCGATATGGATTTTCTAATTTTGAACAACAGGTGGTATTTAAGAAGAATGTGTTCATAAATGATTCCGTAAACGTTTGCTAAAGAATTTGCAGCACATAATGTATGTTTGGCACCAAACTACATTAGTAGGTGTTCTTGGATAATGAAATTATAATATTGATGGTATACGGGGCTGCATACCTGGATTAAGTGGTTTAAAACTATACTTACACTGGCGTTAAATGTGCAAGATGACGTGAATGGTAGTTGGGTAATCACTTACTAGTGCCGCTAAAGTATCATGTTAGAGACCTATATAATAATGATGCTTCATATTTACATTGTGAAGTGCGCTTTATATCTTGTTACAGTGATAAAGCTGCGTCTTGTTCTGAATAAAAGCACAATGTTATTTATAGATGGAAGTATATTATTCTACCTACATGATCGATCGCTAATTTTTTTTGTTTTTGTTTTGGTTTAAAACTAGTCGGGACTGGTGTTTTGACATCGACATGCGTTATTCCCAAATATGGGATTATAGCTAAGTAAAGAATGCATTAAGGCGTGGTTTGGCGCCCGCGTTATATCCAATGTCAACGTTTTCTTTAAATAATTCCTTTTCATTAACAAAGAAGTATTGTCCATATTTGGCTGGTGGCTTTTGCCGATATGCTGATTGAAAAAGAGGTGACTTTGACTTATCTTCATGGTCACGGGGGTAGAATTTCTTAAAACACTCAAATGACTTTTTATGAATATTGACAAGTAGGGTTTTCCATCATAGCGTGTTTAACCATAAAATATGTAACAAAATACATGTAGTACTGTTATTTTGTAAAGGACAGTATATAAAGTGGTTTGATATCAGTTCGGTTTATTTAATCTTTTTAGTGATGATACAAGTAATGTATATGCTTAATATTTGTAACAAGTATTAAATGTGTTGTTCAAAGACAGCGACCAAGATATGTTTGTATCGCTCTACATTTGGTAACGAGGTTGAATTCCCTTATCAACTACATCTTAAGTTTTATATTAAAAAATTAGAAAGGAGAGCCATCATAAGGTTTTTCGAGGAAAAGACTGTTCTAGCACATTAAACGAAACGTATTTTGTCTTAGAATGCACACTTTAAGCAGGGTATGATAAACACGTAATATGAACATGATAAAGGATATCGTCTTTATGAAGGAACATAAGTAAACTGTTACTAGTTTCGGAAGCTGATATGTGAATTTGAGAAACATTTGCGATAATTTGTTCGCCTGGTAGTAGAAACATTTCGACGCTTTGCTTTATTTTTTTAAATATTTATTTAGATTCAAATAGACGTTGGATTTCAATGTTTACGTTTGTATTCCAGAAATACAGATAATTGTCATGTATCACTTTAATGTGTGTGAATAATCATCTCTGAATGAAACCAACTACTTTGATGTTGGTTTTAATGCGTATGTGCACGATCAGTTTCGTAAGTGAAATGGATACTTTAGATACTATTAATAGAAATTCAATAGTTTTTCGATAATGGTTTGAAAGTGCCAGTGTTTTGACTTGTCATGTGGAAAGATTGTTCCAGTAAAATGCTCCTGGTAAAATGCTCCAAGAAATTATTCCTCTTTTTCTCGGCACATGTCAAACGAAAGGTGTATTTTATGGGTAGAAATATTGGTCCCACTGAAGTGTCCAGGGAGTGGCATTGCATTTTAGCAATATGAAACGTACATTTCATGAAATGAAATGGAATAAAAAATCAAATTGTACAATCTAATGTCTTTATTCAGCTGTAATATAGACAGACATTTAAGATATATTATTAAGCATTACGGGGTATGAGCATATTGAACAGACAAACATAGATACATTTATGAATAATTATTGGCATATGTGTAATCAAGATAAAATTTTACATTATATTTACACATGATTTTTCACTTGTCATTATTAAATTTTCAACTCAATGTAAGAGTCTGATTTGATTGAAATAATGCTGAGCTAACCAGGAAAATTGTATATGTTTCATTTATCGAAGATTTCCTTACAAGCATTCATGAAAATAGTGTTCATTGGATATGTATGCAATATGGCAGCATCTTAACTCAACATTGTCTTTCTTGACGTCACAATACATGTGATGCATTGAAGTTGTGACATAATTAACCCCAGAATTGGAAATCAAATTAAATTAGCATTAGCACCTCGATCTTTTCCTTCAACGAAACCTACAAGATCAGTTTTCTAACCTCTAACCAGCTGTATGATAAACGTTATCATTTCAATTTCAATATTGTTGTGAATTTTTTCTTTCTGGAAAGCAGCACATTTGCATCCTAAACATATTGTGTTTACATGTCGTATGTGATTCGATTTTCAAGGGCCTGACGGACAAACTTGTAACGCATGACTTCAAAAGATGCAGATTGATGAAAATTATGGAGAAATCTTACGTTCATCAAAGTGATCTCAACGAGAATATTCTTTTTCTTTGTGAGCTATGAAGCTGGGCATGTTTGATGTTCATTAGTTTGCCTGTTGGTTCCGTTGTTGTGTATCTTGATGTCATTTGAGAACGTAATGTTAATGTCTTGGATTGCGCAAGGTTTACATGGCGGGTGTCGTCGATGAAGGAGAAGACGGTTGCTCTTCCGGAATACCTGGTCTTATTCTCCTTGTATTTTTTTCTGGGGTCTCTTTGTAAATCTTTCTGTTGTCCAAATTTTGCCCCAGTGTTATTTAATTTGAGTTTGGATTATGATTATATTGACATGTAAGTATTTTCCTGATTTTTTATTGAACTTAAGATAATCCAGAATTATAACGTATATTCGTTCTAATATTTAAGGAATGAATCGTTCTTTGTTTTTTATGGGGTGATGAATAACATGATGAAAATAACTTCTATGCTGTGTTATACGGCTTTCTCCTACTTTGCCTCGACCTGGGCGGCAGGCATTCGTCGCGGAGTGTACTGTGACCCTTTTGATGTATTTATAGCATCAAGAACTTAGAGTCAAGAAACAGTTAGACATCAGCATCGCCCAATAGATGTTCTTCGTCTTGTTCGTGATATTCATTTTCAGGCAGTGGAAGGTTTAAAAATAATCGCTAACCATTTTGTAGTAGACGGCAACATTTGCAAGGTCTCAAAACGTGGAAAACAATATTGTTCTGCTAAAAACTACTACAATGTCATATTTTGATTTATTGAATATTTATTATATGTATTATCTATCTTGATCAGTTTATATTACGCAAAGTTGGGGCCCAATTTATTACTTTTATAAGTTTAGTATAAAACATGTGTAAAGGCTCTCTTCACTTACATAATCTTACGGGATCCATCCATACGCCTAGATCAATGCAAATCTGGTTAAATTTATGGACGAATGAAATAGGCTTAATTTGATAGGTTCATCGAGTCCAACTTGAAAAGAAATTGACGAAAACTGAGAATATCAATATATGATAGGAAAGTATTATGATGAAATTGTCTAATTCTAAGTTTAATGAACAAATTCGGATCATCGTAAAAGCAAATGATCATTTCAATTATGATTTGTTTCAGCGTGTATGGGACGATTCCTGGCTGAAGACGTTTTTGCCAAAGATGCTTTGCCTCCATTCCCTGCCTCTATCAAGGACGGATATGCAGTTATAGGTAAGTCATCGGCCAATACAATTAACCTTGAACAGAGGCTCCAACACACATCATACTATTGTTGTCTGTAAACACAGTGGATGCTTATGATTATTTGGAGATGTAAGACGCTACAGTCAAATGGCTTTCAGTGTTCTTCACACGGCTTCTACTAACAACCTGTGTCATATTCCTTTGGATTGTGTTCGTGGACGTGATTATTATCCCGACTGTCTGTCATAAGGCACAGAAAGGTCAGAGACTGTAGCTGCTCTTAATACTATAACATTTGCTTTTCTGCATTTGTCGGCTTCTTAGACCTACCAAACATAAATGCATTCCTCTACTGTTTCAGGTGTAGCGTAATGGCCTGCTTATTTGTACCTCCAAGTACAAACATCTCAAACTCTTTCAGTGTTACACGTTTTGATGATAATTACCGCGATTTTGCAGTGTGAAAGTCTCTTAACTCTTAAGACAAGATTACGGTGAACAAAGCATCATCGTTTCGTTTAAATGCAAATAATCGGTAGAGCCTGTCGTTTGTTTGACATTTCCTTGTATGGAAATGCATACACAGTAACTGTATGCAGTAACTGTATCAGGTGGCGCAGTGGTAATGACCTCGCCATTCACTTAGCCGTCCGGGGTTCGATTCCCGGAACGGACGTGAAAAGGTAACGGGTCACTTGCCCGGCCACGTGGGGTTTCCCCGGATATTCCGGTTTCCTCCCACAATAAGTCCCCTCGGGCGCTTACATCCGGGCCAACAATAGTGATTAGTATAAGTTGAAAGAACTTGTTTCTCAATTGTTGCAAAATACATAACGTTTATACACAGTAACTACGATTGAATCAAACAAAACAGTCATGTATTTTTTTTTCATTTTTGCTTTTCGTTTTATTTTCGTGAGTTATTACCACAGTAAAATACCCCATTAGCCTCCGTATTCCTGATATGGTTCAATGTTCAGGCTGTCAAATCCACGATGCACCCTAGAAGTGCCGTGTTGGCTATGTTTTATCTGCTGAATATACAGACATCCAACGAAATTCCTCTGTCCATCTAAAGATATGTTTTTTGTAGTAGGTATTTTCATTACAATGCAATGTTAGGATATTGATATATTATTTTTCTGACATTTCCGTTTTCATTGACGAATCAATTTTTGTTGACGTTTTCTCATTTGGAAACGTGCCTTTACTTACTTGAATTGAAATTGGGCAACAGAGAACGCTTACATTACCGGAACGCCTGGTCCTATTCTACATGCATATTGTTCACTCATAGTTTGCCCGCGTTTTGTATTAAGATTTTGTTGACATGTTGGCATTAATTTTTTGTTGTTTTTGTTGCATGAATTTGATAGAAAATTTATGTCAAAGATGATAATAAATCACATTTAAGTTCAAACTGATTGGTCAAAAGTGGTTCGAACCATTGACCGAAATCCAAAAATAAAGTTGTGCATGAGGTAGTAACTGAATAGGTTATATCATCATAGCAGGTTCCAGCATTTTGACAGTGTCATCAAAGAGTGTGAGTGACTGTGTTAGAAAATAGCAGTGAGATGTGGTAAAGCATGGGCCACTATTTGGCACCATGGTGATACTAACATCTGTTGGGTTCTGACTTTGATGTGTTCTCTGGTAAGACGTTAAACATATACTGGTCCGTTTTCGCTGTACACGACCATTCACTTTAATTCTCATTTTATTTCTAGCTATCCACTTTAATTAAGCAGTGATGTCTTTGATACTGAAAGTCTGGTTATATTACCGTTTTATCTAGCACAATACTCAGCATCGGGTTACTAGTGAATATCAGCTTCTGGTAGAAGTCAAGGCCCACCTGCGGTTTTCAATGATGTTTCATTATTTATTATGCCTGGAATTTATTTTATATTTGCGTATTGTCTTTATTTGAATTTCAGCGGCTGACGGAGATGGAAAGAGGCTTGTTTCTGGTGACTCTACCGCCGGAGCTGTGGTAAGGCCAACCTCTATTATCATCTATGATTGTCTCCTTAAACTGAAAGGAGTAAAGTCAAAGTCATTTGTCCGGAGTTCCTGCCATGTGGCCAATCAAATGTTTCTCGGCATGACATCATACGCGCCATGCACCAAACGCTGCTGCGTTCAGTAATATCACTTCAAAGAACACAGTCCCCATTTCGCTTTTACTACAATTTACTGGAATTTCTAGCACGTGCATTTTATAGATGCTCGGTATAGTTGTGGTTGGGTGTTTGGAAACTAAATACTAAATTATTGGTTTGTAAGAAAAACAAGCAGTTTGTTTACCATGCACCAAGGCGGCATGCTTTAAAAAGCGACCTAGTTACAAGAACACAGACCTTTAGTATATCTAAATCTTAACTTATGTGGATACTTTTATATGATCCGAAATATTCCATTCCGAATCTACTTCAAGGACAAAGTTTTGTCACTGTCAAGATACTGTACCAATGGTTAGTATCACAGGTAGAAAATTAATTTACTCAAATGTTAATTAGAATTATAAATGCGTGATATTGCCATCTGGTTTAAAATTGGTAATTGAATTAAACGTTTCCACAGATGCTGTCTAGAATATTTACGTCACAATATGTATTTTTGTTCGCATTGTCTTTATAACTTTGTTTCGTATATTTTAAATTTAAATATCTTCCACACCCGCCTCATTTCTTTAATATTTGCTTTAAAGTACTCTACCTCGTCCCAATAGCACAGACATTATTCGAAATTGCGAACGTGCCACTAACAAGACAGTCCGACATTGTGTTAGCGCACGCCTTGTCGTGGTGTACTACAGTATGTAGAGGTTTTATTTAAATACCTGAGTCATCCTAGGTTCATGTCTAACAAATTAACAACACTGGTAACGGTTTACCCTCTGTAAGCACTTGTGTTTATTCATTCAGAATTAAGCTGATGTTTACACAGGCACGTTACTACCAGAATCCCAATGCCAGTGTTGCCCTCCAATCTGACACGACAAGTACATTTATTCCAATACAACATATTTTCATGAATGTGCTTACCAGATTTACGTGTTTCCATTTTTGTTGATGAAACGGTTTTACAATGTAACTTTTCTGCATAATATCTGGTTGCACAGGGCTATCTGCTAATTAGGATTCGAGGCTTAGAATGGAGTGTCAGTGTCAATCCATCAGTTGGTATACATATTCATTCCTTTTCCGTGGCTGAATAACAAGGCAAAATTTTTTATTTAATTTTGTTTCCGAGACAAATATTTCGGACTTGACATTTTCAAGAAACAATAATGGCGAAACTTTATGAGTTCTTAAACTTCAGTCTGTATTTCCAATTGTATGTCATGCAACTGACGTATAATGCTCATGTTTTGGTCATGAAATAAAATCTGTTTTAACGGTCCTCCACGTGTCTGCTTAACACGTGAGTATGGTCTCTACAACATACCATTGTGTGACTTTTCAAAGCAGCCTGAATGCATTTTGCAGTAATGTTAATATCAGTAATGACTTAACATTATGTTTCGGATTGATATGCGTGGGAAATCAATTTAATATTGTCTTTATGTATCTTTATAATACGCTAAAACACATACATGCCGTTAGTTAGCAAGACACTTCTTGAATGCTTCTATATTTAATTAGATATAATGGATTTCGCGTATTTGATATGACGTATATATTGTGGACGTTCTTATGATGTAGTATTTGATAGCACAGCTGTATGTTAGCATGTTTTAAAGAGTTTATAAAGTATCTTTAATTTGATTTAAAATTTATTACATTCTTTCTTAATTACCCATTCTGTAGAGACAGAAATAAAAACCATTTTATAAGTCTTCGTTATATTACACATATATACACAGCAAGGATGTATAATTATACAACGATATCTTCTTGTTGATATCATGACGATATTGTCTGTATAATGATCTCCCCTATTTCCCTATACGGTATGAAGTTGGACCTTTTCGATGCTCGGCGATGTACCTCTCTGTTTCATTGTTGTTTACCGTGTTCCCATTTATATACGCGACATTACTCACCGGGATCAACAAATATTCCCATGGCGAGTGTATTCGATGAAAAAAGTGACGCTAACTCTGCCGGAACACCTGGTCGTATTATTCTGGTACTTTTTCAGAAGTCTCTGTGTAAGTCTTTTGCTCATATTTTGACTAGTTTTATTGAATTATAGTGTGGACAATTTTTTTCTGTTGACTTTATGGTATTTACTTTGTTGTTGTTCTTGTTGTTGTTGTATTTTCACTGCACTTTCCCTTTGTTTTCATTTCATAAAAATTTTAAAAAATCCCTATGCGAGGCACCTAAATACCTTCTGTTTTGCGTGATGAAGATGAAGGATGGTTTGTTCACTTTCAGGATTTCTTCTAAATATATGTATTTTTATTTCAGCGCTTTCTGAATTTTCATCTATTATACTCGTTAGTCTGACTTATGGTTGGCTCTAATTAGGAAGACGTGACTTTACGTGGACTCGAATGAAATAAAAGATTATAATCCTGTCTATTTTGTTAAACTTTACCAAGGACGTCGATGTTTATATTCTTCTAGATGTAACTTTTCATTAATTGTGACTTGACATTATTGTTTTGTCTTCATATTTATTCTGTTGTGTTTTTGTGTTTTGCACAGGATTTTGCAGGGCAGTCGTATTTTAGGGAGTTTCATTATATTAGTTTAAAAAAACTAAGCGTTTGCCGATTGGTCATACACAGGACATCAGAATATGAAAAAAGCATTGCCAATTAAGCTTCTGATACTTAATCTGTTAATGCAAGCATTCTAGATTGGGAACGAAATGTGTACCTTTAACAAATAGATGATGTTATCGGGAGCACCTGTCACTGTTCACTGTGATGGACACCAAAACCCAGCCGACAGATGTCCCTTACGTCTTCATGTTTACAAAAGGCGCTGCAGCAGGGATTACATATTCCTGTGTCAGCTTGGTGGAAAGAAATGCAACGCACGTGCATGATTAATGAAGTTTTGTGTTGAATAATGTAGTTGTATGTTTGAAGCGTCCTTTCTCGCCGTCATGATGCTGTTATATATTGCTCCGTGTAGTCTACATCGGTCGGGCCTGGGTCACACAGCCCTCGATTTTACTGAAAATAGCAAACTTGTAATGTTAGACACAACCAATTGGAGCGGGTTACCTAGTGACTAAAGATAAAACAAAGACTTGTTCTAAAGTATTTGACATTCCTAAACAGCAGGCTCTATTCTGATCAGCAATTGTTGACCACTTGTTGAATTTTCATTGATTTCTTAATTTTTTGTTTTTCTTTTGACAAAGTATGTTGTTATCCGCTACTTGTTTTTTTATGAATAATTCTTCTTACCACGGATGTGATAAGTGGAAGTCGTAAATGTCACTTTTGGTCCTGACTTCTTTACAAATACACGTTAGTTTGTATGATATGAGTGGTGTAAGAAGAATAATGCGTCGAGGGAAAAAAATCATCACTGTCAGACCTTATCTCTTCCTGGATTGACGTTACATATAATCAGGCCTCAATGTTAGTCGTGGGAAGACCGAAATCGGTTACATGATTGGAGTTTATATCCTTAAGACCTTTTCTAGTGAAAGGAGACTAGTTATGATTATTTTCCTTTCTGACCCTGGTATATTTAAGTACATTTCGCAACTAATGACGATCAAATGATTCTGGCATTCCGGTGGTTCCAAGTACAGTCGTCTGATAATGGTGGAAGATTAGACACGGAGAGACCTGTTCCTGTAAACGGTTGATTTGTCTTGAGTTAATTCGTCCAAGTTGCCTACATTATGTTCTAAATATATAATTTCAGTAAATATATCACTTAAATAACCACTGAGTTGTGTCCCCTTCTTTTGCCAGTTGAGCTGAACCTAAACCTAGAAGGGTTGATCATACGCAGCGTTTATGCTCTCGGAACATGTTATTAAATAATGTGTTAATCTACCTCCCCATATAGATTTTGAATTTCTTTCGATCTCATTGCATTTTCTTCAGTCGCCTCCTTGGTATAACATTTAGGCCTTGAGCATCATTGACGATGCTGTTTAATTCGTTGTTCGGCTCTAATGTAGTGATCTAAATTTGTACGAAAAGGTGCTATTTACTATTTTGATATTGACGAGCAAATCATTTTATCATAATTTTCGCTCTAAACTTTCTCACGAAGCTTGAGCGTTCTTTTCATTTAATTGTCCGTCTAATGACCCCACTATTTCCAATTTGAGGCAGACGATGCTTACATTGTCTGAGCACCTTTTCAATACTATTCATTTAAATATACCTTAAACTATTCCAAAATCATTTTCTTTCGTCATATATTTTCAATTTGTTCCAATTATTCCCTTCTTCCATCGTATTTGAAGAATACTTGCAATTTAGATTTACATCGATGCTATATATTTCAAATATTTTTATGCAATGAATAGGTCCGTATCACAAATGTTTTAAAACAAATTTTGCTGTCTGTCGGAAGGAGAACGTAGGCGTTGAAGATATTATGAAATCTATGATAACAAGCGTTGGATATGTGTTTGTGTTGACATTTTACATAAGGGGTATTTCTTTAATCTAGATGGTATTTACAGTGTAGATGCATTCTTGATCTCGATACCAAAATATACGTATACAATATACTTTGTAGTTTTACGAAGGTCGTTCAAGTTTTTTTTTTTTTTTTTTTTTGTTATTCAAATTCAGATAGATTTTCGTAGGCTGTTCGAGTAAATAAACTTACTTAAAACTACTTGCTGTATTTAACAATGACGGTAAATACCTGCATTTCAGCACGTACATTAATTCTACATAGCTGTGGAACTATATTTCAAAGTAACTATCTTGAGGCGCGTAATCAGGCACAATTCAGCGTAACGACAACTTGAGGTAAAGTCTTAAAAGACCTTAGAAACTTCGATAGTCTTCATTGTTGCAGGATAGATAGAATAAATGATCATGATCATGAAATA